TTATCCCCAAATTACCTGGTATACTGTAGTACAAATCAGGTGTTGAAAAAAAATATTTATTATACATAAATAAAGTATGTTTATAGAAAGGTCAATTAAAGATCAAGTGCAAAATTGGTGTTGGATAGACAGATTATTTCCAGGAAGGAAAATAAAGAAAGAAACAGTTTACTCAAGGAAGAAATTGCTTCCAATACAATGCTGTTCTGTACTGTGACTATTTTCAGTACTGTAGTTGAAAATAGGTTGCTTAGGTGTGCAAAATTTGTTAAGTAAAGTATTACTATACCCATATTTTAAAGTCACTGTACAGGTATCACTCGTTTAACGATAGGGTTGTATTCCTGAAAACCTAACATTAAGCAAAATTATCACTAAATGAGGGATAACATGGAGAATCGGTCTTCTGGGAATTTTTTCATCTAAATACTTTAAACTGTATTTAATGATTTTGTTATAATAATAATAAACTACAGTAAAGTAATGCTCACCAAGTCACTGTATCATGTCAAGCTTAACCTCCAAGCTCAAGGATGTGAGGTAGAGCTTGGCCTTGTCTGTTTAGGGTGGTGAAACAGCAGCACACTTACCCGACATTTTTTCAAAGTTCACTCGCTTTACACAATACTTATACTATATCACAATATACAAACAGTCCATACAGTACTCAATAACCCATAAAAGTCACAATGATAAAAGCAGTAACAACAATGCCCAGTGGTAACAGCGGTAGTGTATGTAGCATTAACAGCAAAGTACTTTGTGCACAGCATGGGTGGGTAGGTGACGTGCAGGAAACTTAAACAAGTGACAATAAAGATATGCTATTGGAGCACAGAATCTCCAGTTTTTCCCACTTCCTTCCAGAATTTTTCCCACCTTTCTAGTGAGTAGAGTTCTCACTGAACCAAGTTTTGACCTAACGTTAAACAAGAAAAGGTGTTAAAAATATTATATCGCTAAACCAAATTATATTTAAGTGAATTAACGCTAAACCTGTATGCACAGTATTATAGAGTATTTGTTATTTTTTAAACATTTGACACCTGATTTGTACTAATTGGAAGATAACACTTTTTTGTAATATTAAAAATTTTTAAGTACAGTACAGTACTGTAGTAATTGTGCATGAGGAAAATTGAACGCTTACCAATTCTTTTCACAGCCTTCACTGCTTACAGTCAATGTATTTGTAGTTTTTGCCATTGTTATTAGCAAAGATATGTTTTCCCTATTTTTTGCTGCTTACATATGTCTTGTGGTCCCGCACTAAAATATATAGGTTCCTCCCTGTCTTACTTAGGATGCTTGGTAGTCTCTCAACAGTTTGTCAGTGATTAGTGTCCTCAATTTTTTGTCATTCAGAAATTGAGATAAATAATCACTTACGAGAATGCTGTACATAAACCTTAGCACAAGATTAAGACAGAGGCAGGTCTAATTCATACCTTGGAGAAAAGAACATAATAGATTCCAATTCTTAGTTTCTCTGTTTCAAGTGCAATTAGCTTTTAAGCTCACACTAAGATGAAGGTCACTAAAGGTTTTAAATTCTCAATTTCTTTGTTTACGGCAGAAGGTATCACACCTTGAATTACAGTACCGTATATATCAAGTTGTATTCTGGGTAATATAGGTTGTAGCTTTTATTGTGTCAAATGTAGAAACAATATGGGTGGCAGTAACCAACTCCGGGAGAGTACAGTACAGTGCCTGTAGATGAAATTTGGCTCGCCTACTTTTTTTGTTGAAACTTTATTTGTATTGTTTATTATTAAGCACATTTTCACTGCTTCATAGCCCTGCCTGTAGACAGTAACAAGAAGTTTCTAGCAAAGTTTCATAACAGTGTTAACACCTCTCCTTCATTTCAACCCCCCCGTTTTTTTTTTTACAGGAATTAGGGTAAATAACAGAAGAACTTCTAATTCATTAAACCTAAACCGGACTTTTATTTTCATCTATGTATTATTTATTTTTTAATATTAAGGTTTTCTTTAAATAAATTGTTTTAATGCACAGAATACTGATTGGTTAGGAGAGCCAGGAAAATATACTGAAGGTGTGGCAAATAGTCTGCAGCCTCAGGGGCTTGCTAATACTTTGACAATTAAAAACAAAACCCTCACTGAACTACAATATGTGTACGTATTCATTGATTAATTTCTGCTGATATCAGATATAGTTCTGTAATGATTTTTGTTGTTGAAAGATGTGGAGGACATGACTAACTTGCTGTTCTATCACTAAATTCATAGTTGTTTATACAGTACTGTACAGTATATACCTGGTACAGTTATCGTATTAGATCCATTGTACTGTAGTATGCAAATACAGTATTGTACAGTACAGTGACCCCTCGTTTAACGAACGCCTCGGTTAACGAACTGCCTTCCATAAGGATCTTCAATTCGGTTAACGAATTTCTTACGAACCGACCTCAACATGTTTTCGCTTGCACTGACCGGGCAACCAGCTTTAGTATCAGTCCGCCAATACGTTAATCGGTTCTAGGGCTTAAATTCCTTACTATTTTAGGAAATATCAAGAAGTTTATACTATTCAATAATTTTAAAGTTTAATACAGGTATTCAATTTTTTAGTCGTTTTAACAATTATTGAACATAATTGAAGGTAAAGTGACTCGTTTAATGCGCGGCATCCAGCCTCTTAACACAGCAAACAGGCGTTAGTCTCTCTCTGTTTTCACTGGAGGTAACATCTTGCTTGAGACTCTCTTCAACTAAACGCTTTTTTTCTGTGTTTCCAAGCAAATTATTGGTCATTTTGAAATATATTATACATATTGACAATATATAATGCAGTGCAGTGTTGATTTAAAGAAAATAATCTTGAATTACACCAAGAGAGCTAAAATTTTATGGGTGAAATGGCACCATGGGGTGACTTCTCTTCCACCCCAATGCCTTCTCTTCTTCCTTCTCCTCCACCCCCATTCTAAATCCCATCATCATCATCATCATCCAGAAGCCTTCTACATACACACCTCAAAGTAAGTGATCTTTTCTACCATTTTTGTTGAATTTAGGAAATTTTCGGTGAGCTGGAACCAATTACCCAAAAACCCATTGAAACAATGGTTTCGGTTAACGAACTTTTCGGTTAACGGACGACCTTCTGGAACGGATTGAGTTCGTTAACCGAGGGGTCACTGTACTGTACATATATTCAATTAATAAATGTTTTATAATGATAAAAATACAGTAAGTCTTTGGTGCCCCTGTTGTAAGGTACAGTACAGCCAAAGGAGTCGAAGAGAATTTTTTAAGGTAAAAAATGTGAGTGATACCCCCTGTATAACAGTTGGATGAAAATGTAAAATCAGTATTTACACCATGACCGCAAAAAATATTGATCCCCTCTACATAATTAGCTGTGTTTATATACTACATGCTTTCACCGCGCGAAAAGCAGCCCGCCAAATTTGTCAAGGCAGAATTATATAACATCTGGCAACTCTAAGGTGTTTCCCGCACGACTAGAAGTGGGAGAAATTTGGCCAGTGCCCCCACTTGCTATCGATCAGGGTGCGCGTTAATTTTCGCTCACCAAGGTGATGAGTGTAAATTAAGACACACCTACAATTAGCCCCAAATTTTCTTTCAAAACTATATTCATGGCTCCCAAAAACATGACTGAGGCAGAGAAGGGTCGGATCCTTGCCCTGTTAGAGGAAAAAGTCACTGTGAAAGAAATTTTGAGGAGAACAGGACAAGGAACAGCAACGATTAAGAGGCTGAAGCGATCGACACACAACCTTCCCGCCAACGTTATTCCACCAAGGAAATTATCGCCAGGAAGACCTCCAAATGCAATGATTCATTACTGAGGCTTGAGATAATGAGATACCCTAATATGAGTGCATCACAATTGAAGAAAGCACACCCCATCCTCCTGCAAAACGTATCAAAACAAACAATTCAACATCCCTTTCAGAAGGAACTTCATTTGCCTTCCCGTTAAGCTGCACAAAAACCACTTCTCACGGACCGAATGTGCTGTCAGCGGCTTGATTTTGCAAGAAAATACCAGCTCTGAAGCAAGGTACAGTGGAATTCTGTGATGTGGTCTGATGAAAACACTTTTTGTGTCCTAACTGCAGGGAAATGGACAGTCAGAGGTCCACCAACACCAGCCGGTATGATCCTCGTTACACCATTAAAACCATGAAACATCCTGCAAGTGTGATGGTTTGGGGAGCGTTCAGTGGAAAACGTAGTCGTGCTGGCCTCCATTTCCTCCCCCAAAACACGACAATGAACTCTGATCACGACAAGACTGTCTTGGAAAAAACATTTATATTGGATTATTATCAACATTACCAGTCCACATTCTTCATGCAAGATGGTGCCCCTTGTCACAGGTCAAAAAGTGTAATAACTTGGCTTCATGAAAGGGCTATTCCATTGCTGGAGTGGCCTGAGAATTCACCAGATTTAAACCCCATCGAGAATGTATGGCACAAGATGAAGTGGAAACTATCAACACGGGACATGTCCACTGTACATCGGCTACAGGAGGAAATCAGGCGCATTTGAGAGTTTGAGATGGACGGAGAGTATTTTCAAATGTTAGCAGAATCCATGCCAAAAAGACTTCAACTGGTAAGAAAATGTAAGGGTAAAATGACTAAGTACTAAATAGTAGTAGAATAAAACATTTTAAGTCTGTAAACATGTTTTATTCATCCTTGAAATAAGTTTTTGTATGAATATCATGTGAAAAATTAAAGGGAAATCAATATTTTTTGCAGTAATTGTATATGTTTATGTTAGAATGTTAGATTATTCACTATACATTATAGTACTACTCAGTACTGTTGAGGACATCACAGTATTTGCATTTTTATTACTACCATTATTTTTTTTTTACATACAATTTGTAGACACACAGCAAGGTGGGTGAGGATTCTTTGTGAGTGTTACAATTTCATGCACAGTACGTACTGGTAATAAAACATATGTATATTTTGATCTCAGGTGCGGGTGTTGTATGACTTTGATTCCCAGCCTGGAACAGGTGAACTAAGTATAAAGGAGGGGGAGGTACTCAATGTCACTCGGCAAGATGTTGGAGAAGGATGGTGGGAAGGCTCAAACTCTCAGGGGCAAGCTGGGCTCTTCCCTGCAGCATATGTGGAGGTTAGTGATAATTCTCTCATGAGTAATGCCACATTGATTAATATTACATTCCTCTTATTTTTTTAAGCCCTTTCATGCATTTGAATCTCATATCCAGTTTCAGATCAAGAGAAGTCTGCTCATATATGCAAATCTCCAACAGTACAGTACAACAGTGTCATTTCCTATGGCGAGTTTCATTCAGGAAGTCAAATGTCAATTGATAAGTTTAAAACAGCTGATGCCTTTTCGAACACCAACCCACAGGATAATCAAAGTCTGCCCACCTATCTTCATTTGCCTACACTTGGAATTAGTGAGGTTCTGTTGTATAACTTTACAGGAATAATATTAACACTACTGTAGAGGGTAATTATGAAGACTTACAAAATTAATAAAGTACAGTAGTAGTTGTAAATGTTAAAGGAAAGAGGTGATGTTATGTAGTACTTCTTACTTTTAATAAATTCAGGATTTTAGTATGGAGTCGGGGTTGTTTGTACTCAGTAGTAATGCTGTGTTATGAAAGTAATACAAATACTTAATGTAAAATCATTGAATATTTCTTTTGTTGAAAATAGTGGATTTGTGACTACAGTATGTTTAATCAACCTAACATTTCATATGATTCTCTTATCTCTGTGACAAGTAAATAGCTTGTGGTATTGCAGTATCTTGTGTGTGAGCCAAACAATACTCTGATGTGGTTGCTTGATTTTATCTTCCTTTATTTTAGGTTAGTAGGTTAGTGGGAGAGTCAGTGGACAAGGAGGTTTCAACCATTGGTGAATCGACTGAGAGGAAAGTAGATTAAATATGAAATGTTCAGGGATTGTTGAAGGCTGTTTTGTCTCTCTCGGCATGAGTTATGGATGAATGGATTATATTAGATTGTGGATTATGTAGTGGCAAGTATTACTCCTTGAAGGTACCTGTACTTGTGGAAGCAAGCATAACTAGCTTAACAACAATCTGAAGTCTCTCTCTCTCTCAACTTGACGTTTACAGTAAAACCCCATAATTCAAAATACTGTAATAGGGGCTCTAACCCTTACAAATTATAAGATTTTACAAAATATGAAGGACACTTTCTCGTGAGCGGAAAAAAAAAGCAATTTTACTTTTACGTTATCTGCCCCAATCAAAATTGAAATGTTTCTAAGTAGCTACAGTACCAGATTTAGGTACTTGGTCCAGGGCAATGATGGAAAAACAAGTGAGAAAAAACTTGAACTGACCGTGACCAACACGCTTGACAAGTATAGTATAGTACTTGTTTACACTGAGGTGGGCGGTTGGTGGTTGCATCCCATGGTGACATTTGCATCATGTATATTTTAAAATGTCTCTAATAATTGGAATTTTTACCAGATATTTTGAGATTTGTAATACTGTATAACTGTACCTGTATATTTCACAACAGCAGAACATACGAATTATGCAACTTCAAATTTGGTGGGTATGAATTACAGGTTTTTACTGTACTTGGTTCTCCGTATAACTACTGTACTTGGTTCTCCGCATAACTTGTGTATATTGTGTAGATAAATTATGCCTCTCAAATTCCTTTTGCCATTTAGAGGATCCAGTAGGGTTTGGTTCCCCATTTGATTCATCTTTGTCCAAATCCTATTCTCCTTCCGTCTCTGATCTTGAATCAAACAGTATGAGAGGATAAGGTCTTATGCTCTTTTCCTCAGTTCTACAGTACAGGGGTATAAGTTGTATATATGGGTATTCTATGGATTGGTTGTCATTGTTTGATGTAGGTTAATGGGTTTTGGGATTAATAATTTCATGGTTGGAATGATTTATTAACTTGGTCATCATGATTATATTAAACAAACAGAAAACCCTCTAGATATTGTGTCCTAGTTGGATATCCTGGATACACTCTGTTTCATTTACCTTCTGCAGATTAAATTGATTTTGCATATACCGGTAGGTTCTTAGTTTTCTGATTTGTTTTCTGCAAGCATTTTTACAGAAAATATTTAGTTAATATAACTCCAACGTCCACGAAATTCTCCCTGTACCTCACCTGTCCTGCAATTTGTTATCTACCTCCGTATTAATTACAACCCTACTGAATACTGTTCTAGGTAACCTGGGTATATACAGTACCTCACTCCCCTGACCACTTACACAAGGGTACATGTACAATCAAAGACAAAAGTCGTGTCGCGGTTTTGTCCGAAGATTAAATTTAACTCGTGAAACATTATGAGCGTCCCCCACCACAAGGCAGAGCGCACCAAAAGTTTAGCCCTTCGGCATATGTTTTCACCAAATTTCACGACACGACTTTTGTCTTTCATTGTACATCAGTAGCCTTTGACTGCTCTTATGGTGCATTCCCTTTATGCCTTGCTATCTGACATACTCATTGTAAGATACATATTTTCTCTCTCTGATTCATCCTCTCTCTCCTAATACGTACTATCCAATCCTGGTATTAGAGTCGAGATTTTGAAATATGGGGAGGAGAAAATGATAAATACAGGTGGTGTGGAGAATGGGAGAACAAGTTCTTTGAGGTGAGTTTTGCAAGTCATTTTAAGGTACACTTGTGTCATGTTCTCTCCCTGCTAGCACAAAAACTACAGTATACAGTATTATTTTGACACACAGGAGATAACAGCAGCAACAACTGCTCCCCCTGCAATGCCTCCACCACCTTTGCCCACTGAGTATTCCAACATTGGTGCAGTAGACTGGGAAGAAAAGCAATCTGGTTTTGAGGCCAACAGTTGGAATCAAGCTCAGAATAATACTGCAAACATTGGAGCCAATGCAGAACCTCAGAAACGACCATTGTCACAACAGGTTATTTTATTTATACAGTATTTGTCAATAACTAAGATTTTTTTATGTTCTGATTTGTAAATTACTATCTACTCTGCAACTCATTCACTCAGAGTATTTAGAATGGAACAAGTGCAATCATCTCATTTATCTATCTATCTGTCTAATCAAATTGGTCTAAAGAATTTTTCTAATTTCTATTTAATTATTATTTTTTTTTTAAGAAAACCATGATTATTTTAAACCATGACCAGTTTACTTAATTGTTAATTTATTAGCTCTGGCATGAATGAAAATAATGTTCTCACAGATGAGTTATGATAATGAAGATTGGGATGATGACTGGGATGATGACGATTCAGAACCAGGAACCAACAACTACCTCAACGGTGCTGGGAACTTTGGGTTATCTGGACCTAATCGTGCCGCTAAGTCTGCAAGCAGTGTTGGGGATGTTAGCACAGCAGGTTTGTTGATGGCTTAGGAATGTGAGGCTCGCTTGAACTTATATTTGAGTGTCATGCTAATTTTCTGATGTAAAATTTTGTTTTGCTTGCCTGATTATTTTGTTTGAAATAGTTATTTTTATCTTTAGCATAATCAGTAAATTTTCTTTTGTAAGTGTTAGTAACGTTGTAGTACTTTTATTTATTTTGTGAATGTTTTTATTTCAATGAAAGAAAGAATGCCATGACTTCAAATCTTATGGATTTGGATTACCTAGACATGCAAATAAATTATTGCAGTGTTGGAAAATCAGTTGATTTATTACATGAAAACTAGATACTGAACCTTAAGAAGCTGTAATATCTATTTTCTCGTAGCCATTAATTCTAACCAAGTTTCTTGCAATTAATGGAACATATTTGGGATATGTTTATCTCTACTCTTCTGCCCCCCACACACACACACACACACACACACACACATACATACATACATACACACTGTATGTATAAAATGTCAGATTCCCTCTCCATTCACATATTCACTTCAAAGGAATTTGCTTGAATTGCTAGACCTTCTTATTTATTTATTTTCTATCAAAACAATTCTTTATTAATGAGATTGCCTCCAAATCTTAATATGCCTCCAACTCCTATTATTGCCTCCAGCTCCTATTATTGCCTCCAACTCCTATTATTGCCTCCAACTCTGAAAGGCTTATAGGTCAACTCCAGCTAAAAACAATATTTCAGAGTTATAATCCTATGTTTGAATCTTTATACAGTACGTACAGGTAAAAGCATATTTTCATTCGTCAAAGAAAAACTGAAACAATCTCTTTTTCAAACAATAATTTATATAAATGATGTTTTACAAAAGGGGTTATTTGTGTGTTGTAGCCCTAATGTCATCACAGGAAAATATGTTTGCCTCCATAATTCATCTCCGTTAAGCCATACCTGTATTTTATGATTTCAAACCCCATTCATTAAAGGTAATCATAATATAATACTGTAGTTACTTAAATTTAGCACTGTTAATTAAGTAAAGTTCAAAAAGTATCATAAATGATGGGTAGTTTTTGCATATGAATATAAATTTCAAACTGTGTGCTTTGGCAGTTGCCTAAATGTGGAAGCCCAACCCAGGATTAGAACAGGTAGCTGGTTGTGTTAGTGGCTAGTCACCTGCCTACTTTCATCACATGGGTATGGGTACTGTATAATTTTTCATCACTTCAATCACTTTTGTTGATTGCATTATAATAAATCAGAAAAAAAATAGGACTGGAGTTGACCTTTACAATTTCCTTACTGACCTGCCTAGCTTTTATTACAGCTTATTAGTTTGATGTACAAAGTTTTAAGTGATAATGAAGGACTAAAAGTTAATGGTAAAGTAATACCAAATACTGTATACGCTATGCAGATGATACTACCCTTATCACAGATAGTGAAGAGGTTTTACAAAAACTTGCTAACAGATTAGTGGAAAAAGGTGAAAAATGTGGTTTAAGAATTAATGCTGTAAAGATGAAAGTAGTGGTTGTTACCAAATTGAAAATAAATCCTAAAATGAAAATTATGGTAGGCAACAGGGGACTCATACAAATGGAAAAATGTTTGTATTTGGTAAGTAACATTAGCTATGCTGGCAAGCAAAAACAGCATTTAATAATATAAAAGACCCAATGAAAAGATACATTAACTTTAATTTGAGAAAAAAAAGCTGCTGAAAGGCTTTTATATGGCAAGGACTAAGTATGGGTCAAATAGGTGGACATTTTCAGCAGACACCAGAAAGAGGTTGGAGGCCTTTGAAATGTGGTATTGTAGGCAAAAGTGAAGAATTAGCTACACTGACAGGAAAACAAATGAAGTAGTGTTATGATCAGCAAAACTTCAAGAGCAATACTTGGAATGTATAGAACAAAGAAAAATTATATAATTTGGTCATATAATTAGGGATGATAATGGAAATATTCATGGACAAAGTTGAGGGTAGGAGGGCCAGGGGAAGACAGTGATTGGGATGGATGAATGAAATTAAAAACTGGGTCTCCAGAGAGATACAAAACTTCAAAAAATTGGTAAAAATAACCCAAGAACATTTAGAGTGGAAGATTGTGGTCACCAACCCTCAGATATGAGGATGGTATTCTGGTTGATTAATTAGTTTGATGTACAGTAGGACTTCGCATAACAAGGCTTAAATACTAAAATCCATTTTACTGTTTTTATTTAAATAATCTGACATTTATTTTACCAGTCCATCACAAAATACAAAACAAATGTGAAGCAGGACATAGTTTTGTAAGTGATCTTCCTGAAATGAAAAAGAAAAGTAGACTAACTGGAAGAACTTTAAATAACCCTTTGGCTGCGATTAATTTGTCATGCAACATATGCACAATAATCACAATAAATGAAAGTTCTTAAAAACATACCGGTACTTTAATTTTCAAATAAAAAAATATGCATGCAGGATAATGGGCAAAAGAATAAATTATTTATCTAGATTGGTTTAGGCATGGTGAAGAGTCTGTCCCGCATAAAGTGGATGGTTCTATGTCACTGGAGAGGAATATACAGTATATTATTCATGATGACTGTGTGTGTAGTGAGGCATGACTAGAGGTCTGGGGGTGGTGTAGGGGAACCCAGAAGCCTATGTAACATAGTCTATATGCCTGTCACTTGGCACAGAATTTAAAATATAGACATTAAGATCTTGGCAGCCTGCAGGCTTATCACAGTCTCTATAACAGACTGCTCTACTGGCTTTTTAACAGCCAAAGAGTTAAATTGAGGATTCAAATGTTTTAAATTTACATTTCTTTGAAATTTTATATCAGTACATGTACTGTATTGTCTTTTATTTTTTTAATATACAATAAATATAATGACAGTTACATTATTTATTAGTAGGTTTTAGACATGACCCTTGACACTAAGATAATTCATGTGTCTATGTAGAGCTGAGTGATTACAGCTGAATGTTAAGTTTTTACTTAAAATATTGTCATCTTTATAACTAATGTTAACAATTGTATTATTTTGATGTTATTATTTGTTATAAATTTACCATTTCCACTGATCTGCAACCATATCTAAAGCAGTAACACCAAACTGCTGGCAGTGCATTACTTCACGTAGATTTTTTTAATCATTGACAGACCTAATATATGCGCAGAGTAAAAAATAAATTTTTACATTTAACACAGGTTTTGCTTTGAATCGGTCTGATAAAATGAAGTCCTACTATAGTTGACCTTGCAAAACTATAAATATCTTTTTTAAGGTTACAGTATATGAATGCATTGTCTAATGTAATGTCTAAGTAGTCCAGTTCATTTTAAATAGTATTAGTTTCAAAACAAGTGGCCCTCAAGCAGTTTTAGTCAAGTCTTTCATTCCAATGGAAATAAGGTATATGTTTTGTCTCAGTGAAGTTCTGTTTGAGGATCATTTTGGTTGAATATAGCATATTTTACTGTGTTTTGGTGGTTGATGGACAACAGGTCGAGATGGTCGAGGAACAGTCAGGAAGAGCTTCAACCGTTTCTCAAACTTAGCAAAGAGTGGTGTTGAAGATTTTCTTGTAGGTAAGTAAAAATGGGTCATTGAACCCCCCATCCCCCCCAAAAAAAAATCCCTTGGAATACAGTTGCTTTGGGAATGACAACCTTTTATACTGTAATTCTTGCTTGTTGCTGGTCTGATATTGACAAACACTTTATACCCTCACAAGCTGCTTGTTAGACACATCATCCTCCAGAAATGGCTCAACAAATGCACGTACTATGCCGCAGACTCCAGACTCAATATACCTTTGGGTTCATTGTGAACTTGTGCTTAAACTTTTGTCTCTATTTCTAGCCTGTACAGTTATGTCTTTTTTATTTGCTTCTATAAAATGTATTGGCAGTTTCTCCTCTTCTACTTATAGTAATTCCTCACGTACATGGCTAACACTCAAATTTTAGGCCTCTGTGAAGTGGGTTCTCAAGAAATGAGAAAGTTAAAAAAACATATATGATATTATTCATTTTGAAATTTCCAAGGTTCATGAACAGTGTAAAGATTCTATATATGATAATAGTTATACTGTTCCTTAAATGTGGTTTGAATGGAGTTCATTTTTGGGACTCCCTTCAGGTCCTTTGTTTACTACATGAGAAGCTAAGCCCTGATTTAAGACTTCGTTTATGGGGGTTTAATAAGTGTATAACATTTTGAAAGCGGTCATTAGCTTCATAAAGCATTGACTCATGGGTATAGTCATAAAGCTACTGTAACTTTGTCATGGATAAAAAAAATAAGTTATCAAATAAAGTAAATGCTAATTGCATACATGGAAGGCCACATGCTCATAGATTGCAGACATGTTCTTGCAAGTGCTCGCATTGTTTTCTATTGAATGTACCGCCACAAATAAAGCCCTGTAAAAGTAGCGTGTAGCAGTTTGAATTCCTATAAAAATGTAACTCCTCTACTTTTGCTACGTTTCCTCAAAAGGGGCAGTGCTACAGGCTACCACCGCTAAAAAAAAGTAGCTCATCAACATAGTACAATACTGTTATTACACTAGTTGTGCTGCTACTCCCAAAATTGCAGACTAAAGTAATTCACTATTTGTGTATGGATATTGGTGGAGCATTCACCTTTTAAGCAAGTGGTTCAGCTTGATTTCAGACCCTGTGCCCTTGGTAATAAGTTAGTATACTGTGTAGTACTACAGTACCAGTATGGAACTACCATTTGGGGGAATGGCATCCCTCCTTAGAGGGTGGGGCCACCCACATGCTGGTAAATGCCTACAATCAGGTGGGGGGTGTATAGTAGCATAATTTTGTAGAGCCGAGTTCACATACTTCAAATTTTGGTTAATGAGATACAGGTACTCCTCGACTTAAGACAACCCGGACATACCACCGCCGTGGTCGAATAAAATATTTTTCAAATTACGTATTTTCTAGTACCGACGTTAGTGATCGTGCTGTGTACTGACAAAATTTTTGTTTGTAATTCCCTTTAAAATGGCTGGCAAGTGTAAAAGTGAGAGTTCTCGTGGTGCTGAGAAGAAAAAGAGACACCCATTTTAGAATTTCTATGTATTATTTTCGCCTTTTCGACTTACGACCTAGTCGTCAGGACGGAACCCCATCGTAAGTCGAGGAGAGACTGTACATACAGCAATTACATACATGTAGACATAAATTGCACAAATGGAGGTTTTAATGTATGTACACAGCACGAAAAGTACCTTTACAACTGGGTCCAATGGATTTCGGAATAAGCCGTATGGCTTCCGTTGTATCGAAAGGGTTAGTATACTTGATTGCGAAATGCATTTCTTAATAATGTCATTACATATAATATTTGTAGCTCCTCTTTTTTAACAGAAAGAAGCTAAAAATAAACTAAGATGCCATAGTTTGCTTTCCTTTATGCACCTTTAGAAACATTCACCTCAGGAGATATATTGCCATACACTGTAGGAGTACATACTGTATAGCATATGAAAGGAGAATAGTTTTCACATAAGATAATAATATATGAAAGGAAATATGGCTGAAACAAAATGTTTTGAAACATATGAGCTCAACTGCAAAAGGTGCCAACTCCAATTTTAATAGTCTGCAAACCCCAGTCATGTTCGTCCATTTAAAATGTTGACTTGCTGATTACAAAGTGTTTTTTATTATTATTATTATTATTATTATTTTCACAAATGGAATACCATCGAGTCGATAATGTAAATTCATTTCATGATCTTGGTATTCACTATGGAGAGTTCTGAAGCATCGCAAACTGCCATTATCACTCTTCAAGATGAAGTCATTAGCTTTTGGGAAATTACATGGCAAACCGGGATGTCGACACCCACTATATCGCTAAGGGTAAGGCATTATTAAGATAATGTACTGACAGCCGAGTTGGTGACTTCCATGCTTCGTAGACTAGATTGTGTGATCGCTGCAGCGGGTTCCTACACGAAATACTTGCTTTATTAAACCTATTTATCCAAGAAGCTACTCATTAAGGATTTAAATGATTAGCTTATATTAGTTCTAAAATCATATGCATTCGATGCACAGAACAGAAATCTTAAATCCAACTTTTTATGCATAACATTCTTGTCTACTGTACTTTGATATGTTCCATTCATTTTGTTTATTTACGTTTCCTGTCACACCATTCTAATCACCACGAAATATCTTGTCTATTAGTTTCATAGTCCATCATTATAATAAATGGTTATAATGTACAGTATACAAATAGGCAAACAGAGAAATGTGGGTCTTTTCCCATGTAAGAGGTAATCAGGACTTCCAACATGACACACAAAGACCTTTGTTGAGAATATTTTGTCCGTTGTGTCATATTGTATGACACCGTCAGCGTAATGATACTTTTTGTGCTGTGTGTACAGTAAAAAAATGAAGTATCTTCCCAGGTTTTTGATGAATACATCGCAGAACGGTTGAGCCATTCGACACACTGGCCCATAAACAGTTGTCGGGCCTGCGGAACCATGGAAAAGGGTCGCCAGTAACACCATTCACTCTGTTGAGTAGTCAGGTTTCATTATACTTTGGCCAAAGCCGAGAAGATACGTCATTATCTCACTGTACATCCATACAGTATACTGTACTGAAATTGTTTGCAAAGTAACTTTATCTTATTAATAATTTCAGTGCAATATTGTCAATTGTAATATGCTGTGTGGGTCTCAGATGGGAGAGAGATCTCAGCTCTATCCAAGTCATCTCTCCACACATGGCCAGGAACAGATACACGTGCTGTAGGTGGTAAAGGTTGTAATGGATTTAAAGAATATTTTGTGCCGTTTCCCCACAATACTGTACAATACAGTACAGCATTAATGATTTTAATATACAGGTAGTACATTGTTAACATTTTACAATGCCAGGAATTGATATGTGCAGATAGTAAAGGTAATACAATACTGTATAATGCAGCAAAAAATCTTTTCTACTACTGTATTTTGCATAACATTATATATATATATATATACAGTATATATATATATATATATTTTTTTTTAACTTTTGAATTATATTTTCCAGGGGCAGGTAAAGCATCTGTGGATGAGAAAGAAAAGGTTTTTGTAGAGGATTACGGAAATGGGTCGGTGTGGAGGCCTAACCCACACGAGTTTACGTGTGGTATCTCATCACCCAAAAAAGAATCAAAGTTCCATGGCATGAAGAGTTTTATTGCATACAGTCTGATGCCTTCTGTAAGTGTTGTCAGTAGTTTTTTGATACACGAGGTAAATGGAAAATTACTGAATGGTTCCAAACTCTGTATTAGGAGAGTGAAATACAGTATGTGGGAAACTGGATTAAAGTGGGAGCACAAAATTATATTAAGGATTTGTATTTTTGCCAAGGTTGTTCAAGTATTATCACAGATAGGATAGTAAAAGAGGTGAAAGCAAGAGCAATTGATATGAAGATGAGTCAGCTGCTGTTTACAGCTAATTCTGTTCTAATGAGTGATTCGGAAGAAAAAATAATTGTTGGTGAATGCATAAAGTGATAAAATGGAGACAGTGAAAAATGAATGGATGAAGTGAGATATACAGATTGACAATATATATATATATATATATATATATATATATATATATATATATATATATATATTAGATCACTGACCCACATCAGGGCCTGGAGGGGGGGGGGGAAATATTATTATTATTATTATAATAATAATAATAATAATAATAATACTGTAATAATAATTCATAGGTCTAGGTCGCATTTCTCACTTTTGATCTTTTTTTCATTCTTGTATTTATTTATTAGTATTATTATTTTATTACAGTATTATTGTTATTATTATTAATTTTATTATTGTATTTTATTATTACTATTATTATCATTATTATTTTATTTTGGTGTACAGTATTTTAATTAAAATTTTTATTTCTATGAATAATTATTATTACTATTACGTTTTCGCCCACCAGGCCCCGATGTGAGTCAGTGATTTATGCCCGGGTGGGCTAATCCCTGTTAAAAAAAAAAAAAAATTGCCCCACAAAAAACTTTCGGTTTTTAGAGCTTTTCTGTTTTCGGAATTTCGGAATTTCGGATAAAGGGTTGTCAACCTGTATTATAATTTGGGAGTGATTGTGTTAGCAAATGTGGCAATGATGAGTGGATTCACAGAAAACTATCAAAGGAGGCATAAAATGGGATGTACAGTCAGCAAAAAAGTTCTCAAACAGCTGGGCAACAACATATTTCAGAATGAGCACTATGGCTTGTGATGGCTCAGAATGGTTGGTGTCTGGTAGTGAAGTGACTACATATTTTATAATAATATAAAGTATGTTGCTCGTCTTTATAGTATTTGCAGGTGGAAAGAAGTAATTTAATTTGCCCCCAAAATAATTCAGAAATCAATGTTCAGATTTCTCATTAGTTTTGTCATATTTTATGACACTTAGAGCGTTTGATAACTTTTTTGCCGACTGTACATACAGTGAAATCATTGAACTGACTTTATTATATAGTTGTGAAGCATGGATGTTGTGAATCAGAGGCAACAGCAGTGTTTGGGGTGAAGAAGATACAGAGAGCAGAAATATGGAAATTAGGAAGTAAAGGAAGTGTTGGACCGAGTTGATCTGGGTTTCCTCAGCTGGTATGGATATGCAGTACAGTATTGAGAGAATGGGAAGTTAAATACGTATTGGGAATAAGAGGCTTTAATTTAGAATTGGATGTTAGAGAGAGAAGAGAAGACCAAGAGGGAATTAGAAGGATGGAGAGAATAATGCAAGAAAAGAGGGGATGGACATCCAAGAATCAGAATTGTATGTAAATAACCAAAAGGTATGATGTTAAGTTCTTTTGGTGATAGACTTAGTGCTGACCAATGATGCTATGTTGTTTAATGCAACAGGGACAGACCATGTAGATATATGAGATCTTATTGTGAAATGGAAAACAGTACCATAGCAGAACACATAAGTTGCTGCAGTAGGAATGAATAAATAACAGTATGTGAATTTAATTCACATCTTACTTAAGTAAATAGTGTAATAAGGAAGGTGTGATTGTGCTAAGAGATTGGAGAGATGTGTGTCAAATTTAATATCTGAGATGAGCTTGTTCTGCCATTTAGGTAATTATTGACCTAAAATAGCAGAATGAGATCATCCCAGACATAAATCAGAATACTGTGATAGGTAAGATGAAGCCTAGCAATGAGCTTTGGTCAACATATCTTGAGTTAGAATCTGGTTTTATACAGATGTTATTTGGCTTTACTGTATACAGTATATGTGTTCTTCCTAACTTGTGCAGTCTCAATATGGGTGTTCAAGATCAAGCCTTAATTTTAGGTAAGTAGATATCACAGTGAGGGGGGAGGGGTTGATATTAAAATCAGTTTTAAGTTGCTAATGAAAAGGCATTTACTGGGCTCACTAATGGAGTGAAAATGAAAGTTTTTAAGAATTTTATAAGTACGTACTGAGTGCAGAAGTGGGCATAAACAAATTGTTTTATCTAGAAAAAGTCCTTAAAACCCTTATTGTTTTCATACAGTTTGCATCTGCACCTGTTTCAAGGAGGTACAAGCACTTTGATTGGATACACGGTCGTTTAAGTGAAAAATTTCCTCTTATACCAATACCACCACTACCTGAGAAACAGATCTCCGGTAAGTATAATGTTTATATCATTTGTAATAACAGCATACAGCTATGATATTGTATTCCACGTATTAATTGGTAATAATGTCGTGCTGTTTATACCTGTAAAAATGGTGTATTCCACCCACACAATAAGAAATAGTTATGTTTATAGTTTCCTGTTGTAACAATCTTTTACAATGGTATCATGTTGCTCTTGGTAATAGGGCTGGGCCAGGTTCACTTAGATTTATTTGGGTTCATAGACAGTGGAACCAGTTATCATTGCTATTGTTTACCTAGTTCAATGTTCAAGGGTCTCTTTAGAAATCCATTTCGTTAGAACAATTACTATATCTTGTCTCCCTATTTTGAAGTTATTAGCACATTGGGGAGGGAAAAGTAATTAGCATTTCTAAAGGATTAAAAGATTAACCCAGTCTGAAGCTTGGGTGGTCATGTCTGATGGTCTCATGAACTTTTTGGCAATACAGTAAAACCACGATAAATCGGACTTCAATATATCGGAATTCGCCAACTGAGAACTAAGACACATGAGTTTGTAAGCAGGCTGGGGCTGATCAGTCGTACCAAAATTTTGTCAAATTACGCATTTTCGAGTCCCAACGTCAGTGATTGCGCTGTGTGCTGACAAAATTTTTGTTTGTAATTCACTTTAAAATGGCTAGCAAGCTTAAAAGTGAGAGTTTTATGGTGCTGAGAAGAAAAAGAGACCCATTTTAGATTTTCTATGTATTATTTAATCATTTTCGACTTACGACCTGGATTTGGGTCCCTAACCCCGTCGTAAGTCGGGGAGCAGCTGCACATGTATATACAGTATACAGTAACTACTTTTTGTATAATTTCTGTGTTACTGTATTTTTTATGTATTATGTATGATATTTAATGTTTATTAAAGCAGTTTTGGAACATTTTATGCCTATTTTTGGCCTCTGCAACCTAACTAATTATTTCCATTAAAATCAATTAAACTTTAAGTCATGATTTGATAATTCACGTTGTCTTCTGGTACCTAACCCGTAAATTATTACGACTCCACTGTACTGAAATTTAATAATTTCAGCAATTGTAAGGAAACTAATCTCTAAATTTCCTTTTAGGGCGATTTGAAGAGGACTTGATAGAATATAGAATGACAATGCTTCAATCGTGGGTAGATCGTATATGCCGGCACCCAGTAATATCACAGTGTGAGGTGTTCCATCATTTTGTTACATGCCCAAATGATGAAAAATTATGGAAAACTGGGAAACGCAGGGCAGAAAATGACAAATTGGTTGGAGCAAATTTTTACTTGGCAATTGAAAGGCCTGACACAGCATTGGATGTAATGCAAACGTAAGTAATTTTTTTTTTTTCGTGAATAGTGGACATGTTACATTGTGCACACCAAGGTTTCACCCTATCATGCTAATTGCATGATAACGATGGAATGAATGTGTAATGTGATATTAGAGATAAGACACTTTTCAGGGTATTGAAAGCATTGGCAAGATTTTGCCTAGAGGTAGGCTGAAAGTGTTTAGTGATGTGGAGAAAAGGGAGGAGACCAACTGGGTTATGAGATGCATGAGTTGGAATCTGGAGTGGAGGAAGGCTAAGGGTAGACCAGAAATGATATGGGGAGAGGTTTTGAGAAAAGGCCCCGGAAATAAGAACCTGACGAGAGGCTGCAGGCTGCTAGAGACCATGCAGCTTGAAGAGCTGCCGTCATGTACCGGTAATCACAGCTAACCCATGGAAGCATAGAAAATGACCGTAATGGTGGATGATGATGATATAGTGAAACTGGACAGGGACAATAAGTGGACTCTGTTTATCTACTTGTTTGTCAGTTAACTCTCAATTTTCTGTTGCCATGTACTACACAGACACCACTAAAGTATTTCTGCTCCAAATTGTTATTATAGTTACTCTCTATAAAGAGGAAAGTAGGAAGACTGTATGCAAAAATTACACAAATAAACATTTTAAGTGTATCAGGGAAAATTTATTCTAAACATTATTGAGGGAATTGTAGCAACAGCAGAGAACCTGTGAGGGTTCAGAGATTAGGCAAGGTGAAGCTTGGGTCCAGATTCACAAAAGAATGTATGATGTATTATCCTCTTACCTGAAGGTGTAAAATAGTTCCTAACTGGCTGACTTCAGGGGAAACATAACAATGCGTGTTGTTGTTATGCTTCAGCTTAAGCCAGTCTGTTTAATACATTCATACATCTGCAGTTATGACCAATGCAGTATTCATATCTTGAACCTTTAACCCTCTAATGACAATTACTGAAAATGGTGATCACTCAGATTTTTATTCTTAATGTAAGACTATATTAGTTAAATACGGTATAGTCTGAATTTATGCGGTTTTTGTTTACGCGTTTGGTCATTTACGCGGTGCCTTGCCAGAATGAAATGTTTTAATTACGCGGTAAATTTCATCATTTACGCGGGAAGCTATGCGGGCAGGGTGCGCACAAGGTCGCTCAGTCATCAAAACATTAACGAGTTTTTCACCCGCCACAGCCGGCCCAAGTCAGTGATAGTGAGGATATGGACTTTGAAGGGTTTGACAAAGAGGCCCTGCAAGCCTCTGTGGTGGATAGTGATACAATAGATACAAGTGATACAGGTGAGGGCCAATAATCTGCCCTCTGCCTCGGAACCAACCCCCCATCCCCGTGTGCCCAGCCATCTTTTCTACTAACGTAAGTGTTAAAAAACCTAATATTATTGATATTTCTCTTAAATATTAATTGTGTGTGCATACCATCATAAAATTAAGATGTTATTTTTACTAAAACGTATGTATTGTGTCGGAAAAAGTGGAATTTGGGGGTCGGCCCAGTCTCTATTTCAATTAATCCCATGAGTTCTATTAATTCGTTTACGCGTTTCTCGTTTTACGCGGACCTCCACGGGTTCAATTGACCGCGTAAATGCAGACTATACTGTATCTTTATTTTTAATCCCTGTCTTATTTATCTTGATGTTTTAGCAGTTACCTATTGATTACTGTAGAAAATTATAAAGATAAGAGAATACGAATGTGTGAAGAAGTGAATATGATAATCTTCGGCATAATTCTGATGATCGATAATTACTCACAGTACTTGTTTAATGTTCTAAAGTGTTCACCTCGGGCAAATTCATGCACATGGTCTGCTGGCTAGGGACCCTGTGAAATTATTCAAATGCAGTTGGATACAATTATAATGTATTAGCCCCTGTCAAATAGACAGTAATACTTATATAAATGTGGGTTACATACATTAAGTTTTTATAATTACATCACCCATGGTAACTTTCCTATGAGCTGTGAGTAGTCATCAACTGGTCAAGTGACAGTGTGTTCCCAATGAGCCCTCACACTTTGACTGCAGTCATTAATTAAGTAGCCAGCTCTCGACAGTTTGACTCGTCTCTGAACCACTCAGACGTGTGCTCTAAGAAGTTAGTTAAACATAAGCTTCGTCCCTTATTACTGCTCACTGCTCATAGCATTAATTACGGTCATATCCTAGTTATTGTGGAATAGTTTATTTTCTTAATAAATGTAGAAAAGACCATTTGGTGTGAAAACTTAACCCATAAACATTTTTGAATGCTGCTTCCAGTTCACCTCTAATCCTGACTTAACCCCTACGCCCCAGGCTAGGGTACCGCTGGCTGTATCCCCCACGTGGGGTAAATCGAGAAAAATCAACTTATCCAAAAATAATTTTTAACCCTTTTAAATGATAAAACAATCAAATGACGTAAGAAAACTATATATTGACCCTCTAGAAACTTCCCTGGGGCCGCAGTGGCAAGGGAGATAAGGGGACAGCTTGTTTAAACGGCGAGCGCTCGTGGTCACTTACGCACTTAGCGGCCATTTTCTACGTGCCTTTGTGTCTGGGATGGCCAGTAATGCATATATTTACTGAGCATAATACTTATTTCCTATAAGTAATTCATTCAGAATTTATTTTATATGCATTATTTTTCATAAAAAGTGCTCGGCGACACACACAGTCAGTCGCCAGGCTGTCTTTGTGTTTGGGAGAGCACAATAATAACTCCACAAATAAATACATTTATAACATAATCATAGCATTATTTTCCAGTAATACTACACTACAATGCAACTACTATTAGCAATATTACTTTGATACAACATGATAAAATGGACAAATGACTCTCCATGGAGACAGGCTAATGCGTACTAACTGCAATGAGCCCACCCATGCTACCCTGCGTGTGGGGTGACCACCAAACAATCATGCTGGAAACTGATAACCCGTGCTGGGCATTCAAACAATGGCGCGAAAAGGCGTGAGCTCCGGAACGTCAACCAGGGCGCCCTAGATGAACGTTCCGTAACGTCAACCGGGGCGTAGGAGTTAACAGACTTTATTGTCAGTGATTCCAATAAGTAACCGGAAACCGCAACATAAAGATGGCATGTAAGAAGCAAGTAACAAGGTCCTTAGACCACAAGATGTTGAAACTACTAAACTAAGAGAAAGTACCTGTGGCAATATGGCCCTAATGCAGATATGAACAATACAGACTGTTAGTTTAAAGTATGTGGACAGAGATATGGCCACCTACTATACCAATGTCACATGTTGAGGAAGAACCATATAGGAACAGGTTCCAGTATGTCCTACTTACTGATAGTAGTACATGTATGTAATTTTAAGGCGGGGCCAACTAGACATTTAGGTCCAGACCATAGGCGTGGTCTTGAATCCTCCATGCAGACCAGTTTGAGGTAAAATCTGGATATGACAGGTTTTAATGTGTAATTTTTTAAATCTGTGTTTATAAGGTTTGAGGTAGTCTTGTACAATTTACCCAAATTAAAAATATTTGTATTTTTTCAGAGAGGCCAAGTTGGAAGGTTACAATCGCTTCTTCTCCACTCTGGATGATGCTGTTAAGCTGGTCCAGAACACATGTATAGACCAGGCCAAAAAGCATCAGACGGCTTTCAAGCGGGAGTATAATAAAATTTCACATTCATTCTCCAAACTCAGTAGGGCCTTTGACACAGACCCTTCTAACTGTAAGTACAATATGATCATTGTTTTGGATCTTGAGTAGAAATAGCAAAGCAATTATCATATTTAAATTTAAAAATTATGCCAAAGTAACAAACAGTACAGTATAGGTAAGGTAATTTCTATAAAGCAGCATTATCATAATATGTTTCCTTAACATGTGATTTGGCTCTGTGCATATTTAGGTACTTTAGTCTACTAGTTACCATGTAACTACATTTATTCCCTCATATTTAATATTACAGTACAAACAGTTAATAAATTTTCAAAACATTTCATCATAATGAAGTAAAATTTAATGGCATAGTAATTTTCATATATATATATATATATATATATATATATATATATATATATATATATATATATATATATATATATATATATATATATATATATATATATATATATATATATCACATCTCAGGGTGAGTACAGTCTGAACTCACCCCTGAAGATGTGAATTACACGAAAGCACTTGGGAACTTCATGTTTTCTTTTTCCTTGTGGTTATCAGCATATACCTGGATCATGCGCACCTACAGTGATTTACTTGCATATATATATATATATATATATATATATATATATATATATATATATATATATATATATATATATATATATATATATATATATATATATATATATATATATATATATATATATCATTTTTATTTTTTTCTTGATGGCAGGTGCTCCTGGTTTAACCGAAGCCATTCACCACATGAGTGAAGCATACTCGGATATTGGTACAGTGTTTGAGGAGGAACCAAAGCATGACTGGGACCCATTATGTCACCTACTCTTTGAGTATAGAGGCCTCATTGATGGCTTCCCTAGTGTCATTTCCATAACAAAGGTCTGTTAACTTATCATCTATCTTTGTAATACAGTAAGTCCTCTTTTAACGTTGTGGTTAAATTCTTGCAAACCGTGATGTTACGTGAAACAACGATAAGTGGATAAATTTTTCCCATAAGAAACAGAAGAAATAAGTATGTAGGTTATGTTCCCAGCCTCCCTTCACTCCTATAGCATGCATCACAATTAAAACAATGTAAATAGATTGTCAATACCTGTTTATTCTGCACTGTAAATACATATAAATTTAAACTAAATTTTTCGTTGTAAGAGGATGAGATTTCATGAGGCAAGACCGAATAAAGAGAGAAATTTTATATCATGGTGAGGCCCCAAAATATGTTTTTACACACATATATATATATATATATATATATATATATATATATATATATATATATATATATATATATATATATATATATATATATATATATATATATATATATATATATATATATATATATATATACACACACAGTCGACCCTCGTTAAAACTGACTAATAGGGGGGGAAGGGTGTCCGTTTTAGCCGATTGTCCGAATTAACCGATTTAGGGGTTAATATTGCATAATATTGCATTATACAGCTATGTGTATGTTTATTTGAGTGCCCCGTCATAGGAGTCCGTTTTCTCTCACTTCAGGACGCCTGAGTCGTCCGTTTTCTCTTAATCTTAGAGATGCAGCACACCAGTGACTTCTTTATTTCTTAGTAATGACACAGAATTTGAAATTGCAACTCCAATTGCAACTGGGACAATCCCAGAACCAGAAATTTGATATGGACAGTTCAGATTTCGTCCGATTTATCCGAAATCCGGATTAAAGGGGTCCTAATTAACGAGGGTCGACTGTATATATATATCCTCCCCGACTTACGATGGGGTTAGGGACCGACATCCAGGTCGTAAGTCGAAATTGTCGTAATTCGGAAATGCTTAAATGATACGTACATAGAAAATCTAAAATGGGTGTCTCTTTTTCTTCTCAGCACCACAAAAGACTCACTTTTAAGCTTTCCAGCCATTTTAAAGTGAATTACAAACAAAAATTTTGTTTGTGTACTGGCTTTGGGACTCAAAAATATGTAATTTGACCAAATTTTGGTACGACCGAGGCAGGTTGTAAGTGCGGGTGGTCGTAAGTCGAGTAGGTCGTAAGTCGGGGAGGAGCTGTATTATTGAAGATGCAACAGCATCTTTACTAATTTTATGATAGATAAATCTGCATATACGTACTTGTAGGTTCTACAGAAAATTGTTTCTGAAATAATGCATACAGGTATTTAATTATAAAGTGCTCCTTGCTACGAGGGCTGACACTAATTTGTATCTGGATATTTTACGGAGATTCACAGGGAACCTTTGCACCATTCTCATCAAAATTTTATTCATCATTTATGCCTTTATTTTTTCTTACAGGGAGCAATAGCCAAGAGAAGACAAGTTGAAAAGGAGGCAAGTGAAGGGCGTCTAGATTATGACCAAGTACCACCTATGGTCAGACGATCAGACACAATAGCATATGCTCTCCATGCTGAGGTGGCACACTTTCATCAAGAACGGACAAGGGACTTTAAGAAAGCCATGACTTCCTTCCTTACTGAGCAAATAAATTTCTATCAGAAGGTGAGTGCATTCTCTTTAATATTAGATATAGCTGAAGAGGTTTCTTATTTTTTCAGCTGCATTGGTCAAATTTTAGTTATCTGGTACAACACAAACTGGTTGGATTGTGGGGTTTAGAGTCCGTGATTATAATCACACATCAGGTTGTGATCAAATTTCTTAACAATTGAATGGGAAAAATTGGTCTCATTTAACCCTTAAGCCCCAGGTTAAGGTGCTGCTGGCAGTACCCCCCCCCCCCTGCGGGGTTAAATTGTGGAAAAAAAGTCAACTTTTCCAAAAATAATAATAAAAAAAAGTGGGAAAATGGGCAGACGTTCTGGAACGTCACCTGTTGCCTAAGGGTTAAGTGAACTTTTCATTAATGTACCTGTAGTATATTTACATGCACTCTTTTAGATGTAGCTCCAGAAGTATTTGGGTAGTATTGCTTATGATTGGAAAAGTCATTTGTGAAGTTGGAAGAAAATTGAATAAAAATACTATACTTACAATATACTCGTAGACAACTAGGTACAGTATCTGTATTTTTTACAGGTTAAGTGAATGTGTTTAAGGTCAGTCTCAGAGTATTGCTGTAAAAAGGATGAGAGTTAAGAATGTTGTTCAAGATAAAGGACAGATGAAAATACAACATTAATTAGAGAGTAATGAGTGTGCAACTGCAAGGAAAATATGGGAGAGCAGGAAAATGATGATCCAACAGGAGATAAGAATACTGTAGTAGGATGTCTGTCTGTATGGAGGAAATTTAGAAACGCTTGATTATTATTTTGTGATTCTTTTTCTTTTCAGATAACTGACCGACTACGAGACTCTCTTGAGAAATTCAATGATGTGTAGGATTTTCTAATTATTTCTGAGCATCTCCCTGTTAGCTTTGTAATTTACGTGATTTTGTATGTAGACTCTTGTTACCTATTTGGATGTAGGCTTGTAAATATTTTTTACAAGAGGCATAGCTTCTATGAAGTGATTTACATTACTAAATAATATTTACAAGTACTTTCCAATATGAAGATAAACATCATGAGTCATCTACTGACTATGTACAGCTATAGTAGATCAACTTAAAATTACTGTCCAGGTAGAATGAGGAATAGTTTTGAAAAAATTATGGTGTAACTTAAGATCATTTGATGCTCAACATTTATATTAGGTAAGTTGTTAGGATATCAGGAGACATTACAGTCTGTATGTTTCATAGAACAGAAACCTTAATGAGGGAATTACTATGACTTTAGATAACCAGGATATTACATCATGACCATAGCAGAGACTAAAGCTTTTGTACTTAAAAATAACTGGTATTGATTTTCAACCCTTTACAGTACTGATATACCTAGAGCCTAAATGACATACGGTGTTTCCACATTTTATTCTAGCCATTGTAGTTAGGATAAGCTGGTTAACATGAAATTTTTTAAGATACAGGTATCCCCCGTTTAACATTCATTCACTTTGCGATATTTCGGTTTAGCGATAGCTATAAAATTATTAACACACTTTCTTGTTTAACGATTGGTCAAAATTCGATTTAGTGATGTTTGACTCACTGGGAAAACTCAGGAGGTAAATCGGAAAAACTGGAGATTCTGTGCTCAAAGTGCGCATTATTACAATACTGTACATGTACTGTACTCTAATGTGGGTTAGAAACATAGAAAATATACTATTAAACTATAAAATAAGGAAAATGAAGAGCATGGGTGTGTATGTGTAAGAAGTGAATGTATGTATTGAGGCAGTGAGCTGTAACTGGGGCCAGTTGCACAACCCCCCCCCCCCCTCGAGCATGTGATGTTTTTTTCCTATAATACAGGGATTAGCCCACCCAGGCACAGGTCACTGACCCACATCAGGACCTGGGGGGCGAAAATATAATAATGATAATAGCTACAGTATTATTATTATTATAATAATTCATAAAAATTAATAACAAAATAATAAAAATAAAAAACTAACAATAATAATAACAACCATAAATAAATAAAAAAAAAAAAAAAAATAAGTCAAGAATGAGAAACGATATACTTTATGTGTGTTGTGTTGTCAAAGTAAGAGAAACAATTGAGACCCTGCAGTTGTGTGTAAATGAGGCAGAAAGTCAGATCACCAACCTGGGACTTGGTCACAATATTTGTGATGCCATATGGCAGCAGGGTCTACCATTAGACAACACATTATGCTTCCAATATCTTCCCAGATGGTAGTTCCTCCCTGTTTGATAGCTGTCTACTACCTACTACAGGCAGCAGCCACACACGTCTCACGAATCAGCTTATTGATGGCCCAGCTGAACTGTGTTGCGTGTATACTGTACCAGTAAATGTGAGGAATAAATAAATTAAAATAAAAAATACTGCATTGTCATTTGGCAATCGTTTCACTACACACGGGACACGAGACAGCGAACAGCTGAGAGATCCCCCATGCCTCTTCCCCCCTTCTCTGCTCTGCGCGCTAACTGCCGCGCATGTAAGAAATGTTTATTCCCTTTGTTTTCGACCTTATGATAAATATTTTTATATACTTTTTTTTTTGCACATTCTGTATGAACAAATGTGTGTGCATGTAACAGAGTAAAAAGAAAAATTTAGAAAAGTAGTAATATTGTACTGTATATCTACCCGAAATTATGAGTTGGAATAACAGCTCACAGCTCAGCCTCAACCACCCTTAGTGCTACTGGGTGGTGAGTCAGCTACACAATTACATGCCGTCTCATGGATATTATTCCTCGTTATCCCTCGTGTGACGATAATTTTGCTTTACTTTAGGTTTTCAGGAACGCTTCTCCGTTGTTAAGTGAGGAATACCTGTACTGATTTAAAATGTTTCATCTTCATTACTATCCTATTCCCTTTTAGTGTAACAGCTCATATCTTTAATTTTATCAGTACAGTGCGGGTATGGTGTATCCTTTAAATTGTACTCTACTGTCCTCTTCTCTCTTCTCAGCACCCAAATTAGAATACAGTAACATGAATTTTGGGTTCATTTCTGGATTCATTTAGTAACTTGTACAACAAGAGTGTTTCCACATTACATCCTTTCTTTAGATTATGTAGAACGTAACTAACATTTTGTATCTTATTACACTTGGTGTGAGGGAAATGTCATCAAAGATTTAGATATACAATTTACAACTCTGTTTTTTTCCTCTCATGAAATATAACATATGCATTTATACTAATATTTTTTCTTTATTTTCTTTTTATATATAGTGGTGGACAAAAAGGATTTGGCAGGCAGGGAGGGAGGTGGTGTATGGGAGGGTAGGGGTTAGTGGAGACTTGACAAAGTTGCATAGACATAGCAATTGAAAGTCTGTGATTTTCTTTTTACACCACAAATTTATATTTTTGTTTGAGGTAAGGCGCAGCTTATACTTCCTCCCTGCCGAATTCATTTTGTCCACAACTGTACAGCGTTGCTGAAACATTGAATAATTTTTTTTTTGTCTTGGTTCCCATGTCCTCAGCTTCCAACTTTTCTACATACAGCATTTTAAAACAACTCATTTCCATTTATTTTTTTCATAAACTTTATTTTCTTCACATAATACTAAACTCATGAATTATTTTTCTTGTCAACAAGGTCCTTGGTATTGAAGTACAGGGTATTGGTGAAATATTAATGCAAATCTATGGTTTCTTGAGATAATATGAACAAATACCCCCCCCCCCCAAAGCAGTTATGTTAAAGTAGAGAAAGAAAGGATCCATATTTTGCTGTAGGTTTTCCATTACTGTAGTGAGTTTGAGAATTCCGTCCTATCGTACATACTGTACTACACATGGGAGAACTTGATGCTTGTAATAGAATCCCATGGCATTACTGGGTTTGCTTGTATTGTATCAGATAATCTGTACATAGTCTTCTGGTATGCTAGTCAATCTGCTAATTTGGAAACTATTGAGTCTATGATCAGCCACATACTTAATCATAATTACAGGCAGTCCCCGAGTTACGACTGTCCGACTTACGATCATCCACACTTACTAACGGGATCCCAATATATTCATCGCAAAACTTTGTAATTAAAATCCCACTATTTTACATTATTTTCATTATTCTATATTATTTAACATTACTCTATTTACAGTGTTTACATTATTTTTTATGAATGGGGTGGGCTTTAGCCTAACATAAACTATGGAATTAACACTGTTCTAACTTACGAACAAATGGACTTACGATCAGGGTTCAGAAACGTATCCCTGTCGTAAGTCGGAGACTGCCTGTACCTAGGTTTTGTTTGCTGTGTTATGAGATGATCACTTGAGGGTATGTTTTAATGACTATTATTGATACCTCTTAATATTATACATTGCAGGTTAAAAATTTTCTTGATATATTTTTGGGCAAAGAAGTTCATATAAAAGACACAAACATTTCATTTCACTGTTGTTGTTTTTGTTTATTGCATTATGGTGTATCATCAAAAAATGGTTTTACAATATTTAAAATACTTGAATGTTATTAGATTTTTATAGCACATTTGTGTTTTAAGGGTGTATTGGCATGATTTCTAACTTTTGTGAACTTTTTTTTTAGTATCAGAAATTTTTGCCTCCATACTGTATATCATAACTTTTAAAGGATGGGGCTTTCAACCAAAGAAGTGTGTGATAATTTCATTTGGTCTTTAACTGGCAAAGCTTAATGGACTACAGGGAAGTGTTGGCCATTCAAAAATAGACTCGTTTCATGAGCTTGATAAAACAGTTAAAAAATATATATATACTGTATCAGAAAGGTTAAAGAAGGGAGTATTACAGAAATATTTTCAGGATTTTGGGCTCAAATATGTTGATTTGTATTTGATAGATTTGGAGGGGAAAATACTATTCCAGTGCTATGTATTATTTGTCATGATGATTGTATTATGTTTTATGACAAAGTTTTACTTTATAGTCATATGTATAGATATGGCATTAGTCAGTAATTTCTTATAAGAATATATAATAAGTAATTGTTCTATTATTGCTATATTCCATATATTATTGATAAATTCATATGAGTGCCTTGATATATAACTTTTCCCAAGATATTGTGGCACCTCTGCCTTTTTTATTATTCTTATATTAATATAGTCCAAGTATTCATTCAGCCCATGTTTTGTTATAATCTCTCTCTATATATATATACCTGTATATACAGTATCCATGTACATACAAATGCACACATTCATATTTATGGCAATATTTGTCTTCCCAAACCAGCAAGGGGAGGCAAATCTCCGAGACTATAAATTTCTCTAGAGCCTGCAATTCCATCAGGCATCCCCAGAGCCCTTCAAATCAACACTGAGGGGAACTCAGTTGTAACCGAGGGTGTGAGTTTGGAAAATAATGGAAGGGGGAAACAATACGAAAGATGGGGTTATTTACCAGCAAAGACGAGCTTGCTCCAAGGGTCTTAATCAACAATGACAATTTGGTACAGTACAGTAGTCAAATTAGATTTTCAGAATTATTTTAATCAGACCAAAAGAGATGAGGTGATCAAAGCCATCCATTGCCATTTCTGTCTTCTGACCTACTTATCAGCAGGGATTGGCAAGGATGCAGTCCTGGTATTTGGTAGAAATTAGATTTCTTAAGTGAAAGTGTTCAGCACTAATGACAAAGGAGCTCATAGACAGTTTATCCAGTGAACTCAACAGTCGCCATGCCATAGGGTGAGCCCAGCCATTGGGAACCCGAAGCTTATGTAGGGAGAATTTATTCTAGAATGTGCTTCAGGCACTATGATGGGTAGGGATCCCTATCAACCAGGCTGGATGGCCCACTGTTGTCACAACCCAGGAGTTGAGTATCCCAATAATGTTTCCCTCAAACACACACACAAAAAAGTAACCAACAATGAGAAAAAAATTACATCATATGACCAAACAAACATAAAAGTGTTAAACGGTTATCTGGGATATAGAAATTATTATTCTCTGGTGTTTGTAAATTTTGATTTGAAGGTTATATTTCACCGGGCGTTGGCCACACTGGGATAGCCGGTGGTTGGTGTGCCGCGAGTCAGCTGTCACAACACAGCGGGGGGAAATGTGAATGACTGTGAATGTAGCTTACAGCAGTCTTTTAAACAGTGCAGTGCTCCAGTTAGCCTCATTTAAGTGAAGGGAAAATTATACAATAAAAGGCATCTGACCCTCGGAGCTGTGATAAGAAGAGAATTGCTATGTTTGTGTGTGGATGCATTGCAGCATGCTCATGATCAGTCAGGATTATTTAACACCTGTAAATAACTGACACTTTGAATGTACAGTACAGTATAAGAAAAAAGACTGACGAACAAACTAATTTCCTAACAGTTTTTAATATATTCTATCTCGATACAGTATGTGATAATTTGGAGGGTGAAAAAGATTTTATATTCATCGGGGACTGCCATATGACAGGTCCCCCTCCTGATGAATTGTTCCAATGATCCCGATAGGAAACCTTATTCACCAGAACTGTCTTTGGGTCTGTAGGCATCTGAATAATCACTCACAATGACGCTTTATCGGTCTGGTGGTGTAACAAAACTGTGAATACGGCCCTTGGCTCTATGATGATGCCACTGGCAGGTTCAGTGGATTCAGTTTTAGGGGATATCAAATAAGTGATGACACACAAGAGAGGCACTAGGTCTTGCCCTCCATTTCTAAATGTGATATCATCTTAGCTGATGAGCACTGCACCGAATGATTGAGGAGCATTTTGTTGGTTGCCAGAGGTGTCCACCGGGCAATCAACATCCTGCCTGGGGCTCCCCTGCTCTTTAAAATAA